AAATGGCACAACCAATCCCAGCTCTAGCCTCGCCTATCGCTCGCTCAGCTCCGAGCCTCCGAAATGTCACGCGGCCGGACAAGTCACGCATGTAACGAACGGTACGGGCATCTCGTACTCTCCAGCACTGCTGCACTGGGATGCACAGACATTGCCGGCGCGATGGTCTACGGCTACGGGAGCGGCCAAACCGCGACCGAGGTCCTGTTCGTCATGACTGGCCATGGCTAAAAATAAAGTTAGGTGATTTATTATAAGAAAAAATATTATTCATTAATTAAAAAAAGTACGCCAAGCCAACCGGGCGGAGAAGCTATGCTATGGTCCGGCGGTCCGGAGCGTGTCGTAACCCGACTTATGCTTTTTTATACGTATACTGTACAACCATGTGTTTTATATAATTCTAACATATGAATTTTTTTTACACTATAAGATTAAGATCCACAGCCTCCAACTTTCTTCTGTCTCTAATCTTCTTCTACCTTCAGACAATCACATAATTATAAATCCACTCATCACGTATCACGGATCATAGAAAATAAATTTTTTATATGAAAAGATAAATTATAAAGCGGTTGGTTTCCTTGCCTGTCCGTTCTTCCAGGGTCGTCGCGTCGTGGGACCCCTGCTGGCGCTGGCGCTGCGCTGCTGGTGCTACTTCTGTCATGGTGCTGGTGCTACGGGCAGCATGTCATGCGCACGGCTGGCGCTGCGCTGCTGGTGCTGCGCTGCCGCGTGCGCTCGCTGTTTGTTTTAAAAAATGTATGTGTTATTTTTCGCTAAAATATATATGTGTTGTATAGTATTTCTAACTTTTTCAGATCTGAAAGATGAAAATAGGATACGAAAATGGCCAGTCATGCACGCCCGCAGCCTGGCACGCGTCTTCGACTCTCCGTAATCGTACCGACACTGACTCTGCTTGTTTTCTTGGCACCAGAGTCGACGTCCACTACTGACGGACGGAGCTGCAGGCGAGCGGTAGTTTTTTTTTTATAAGACAGGCGAGCGGTAGTAGGTAGGGAGCAGGGTAAGTGGGTAACCGGTTTAAAGTCTGTTTAAAAAAAAAGGGCTCGGTTAGATTGCAAGTTTTTTCACTTTTTTTCATCACATTAAATTTTTGACACATGTATAGAGTATTAAATATAGATAAAAAAATAACTAATTACACAATTTGATTGTAAATTACGAGACGAATCTTTTGAGTCTAGTTAGGCTATGATTAGACAATAATTATCAAATACAAACGAAAATGCTACAGTGCCAAATACTGATTCCAAACATCAATCTAAACCAGGCCAAAGAAAAAAAATCCGGTCAAGTCAAAGTAACCGACATCCTAGTGCCACGGTAACACACGTTCTTCACAGTAGTACTACTATGCTACTATGCTCAGCGTCCGCAGTGTGCTCGTTTGCCCCGATTCTATAACAGGACGATCCGGTCCTATACATTGCCGCTGCTCCAAAACAAATAACCAGCTCCTATAGATCGAATCTGCTCCATCAAATAAAATATATTATTCTCTCTTCCAATCTTGTTTACTCCCTCTCAGACGTTACCACCATGCTCGTTTAATCATATTAATTATGCTTATCAATCATAATATAGTGTTTTTCTCTCGTAACAAAACAGCATCAACCTGTTTATAAGCCACACAAATGATGAAGCGAACATGGTGTACAACTATCATGGGAAATGTAGTATTCTTTTTCCTTGCCGTGAGCCTATACGATCCGGTCCTAGCTTATTCAACACTACTTTTTAGCCATGAAATAGCATTTTTCTCTCACAACCGTTTCAACATAAACATCAGCGTAAGTCAAATTTCAGCATAAGCCCACAGATGTGCCCTCGGACCATGGTGATCCTGTACCTAACGAAAGCAAGGTGTCGGCAATCGGCATGTCACCGGTTCCAAAACGAGGGAACTGCATGCACTGAGCAAGGGATTGTTTGGTTGGTGCCATATCAGGTAGATGCATGTCAGGGATCTAATCCTGGCCCCAGACAGCCAAAGTCGAATACGTGGGAGCTCCCTGTTTGGGCCAGGCAACTCCGGCCACGAGCAAACCAAAAACAACTACTCCGAGGGAGCCTTGCTACTGTAAAGTGACCATAAATTATAATTTATTTTAGCTTTTCAAAGTATATATACAAATATACTCAATCCATTCTAAATTATAAGACGTTTGACTTTTTTACATCAAGTTTGACCACTCGTCTTATTCAAAAATTTGTGTAAAATATCACTTCTTTCATCGTGATTTGGTTTATTAATAAAAATTCTTCAAGAATGACTTAAATTTAACTATATTTGCACAAATTTTTTGAATAAGACGAGTGGTCAAACTTGGGGGGAAAAAGTCAAACGTCTTACGATTTAGGATGGAGGGAGTATATCATTAGTTATTAAAGATGGCAACGGGCCCCGATACCCGATACCCGATGGGTATTTGATCCATTAGGGGATGGGGATGGGATCATATCTTTACCCGCGGGCATCTAAATGGGCAAGAATCCATACCCGATGGGTATAGCGGGAATGCAGGGCGTTCCTCATTTACCCGTCCCGTTGCATATCCGTTGGGGAACCTGACTATTTGAGCTGTCATGTGAGTATTAGGCCCAAAGAAGCTCAACATAGGTATTTTGGCCCAAATCTGAACAATCATATATATAGTTTGTGTATTCTAGGAACCCTAATTCAATTTTTCCTCACCATCTCCGCCAGCAGCACAAGCACGCCTACCTCACGAGCGCTCATGCCCCTCGCTTCCTCAGTTAGGTCTCTCTGCCACCTTTGCTCGTCCTCCTCGCAACCTCGCTCCTTCTCCTCGGCATCTCCGAGACTCCGACAGTTATACCCGGGTGAAGAAGAAACATCTCCGATTGCAAAGCTGCGACCCCAAGTATCCTTGTTTATCGGGTATGCAGTACCCGTCGGGTATCTGTTACCCGACCGATGCCCGACGGGTACGGGGATGAGCAAGAATCTATACCCGAGACAGTTAACGGGGACGGGGATGGGATGATTTCTCCGTAGCGGGGAAGAGAACGTTCCGGCGATACCCGACGGGTATATCCCCGTTGCCATCCTTATTAGTTATACATCTAGAAATATGCTATGTCTACATATAATAAAAATTAATTATCTATAGAAATATAATTTGGAACTAAGGTGACATAGAGTAGAAGATATTTACACGATGTCGATGCGTCCATAGAGTAGATCCGTATTTACACGATGTCGATGCGTCCGGAGACCAATCCCCAAGCTATCTTCTTCGAATGCCGTACAAAGACAATGCATACATTTATATACACACGGCGATATCCTGATAGGTACACGTACTAATCGATCATCAACAAGGCGCATGTATGATATGCCCAGCCGGTCACAGCCTATTGGGCTGACGTGGGCTGGTCGCCGGCCGCCAGCCGCTCCACGCGCGCGCGAAGCTGCCGCCTGCCGGCAATTCACCATGGGAGAGTACTCCTACTTCTGTACGTACTTGTCATGCTTTCAATAGGCACTAGTGAGCGCTGACGACTTCAAGTGTGCAACAAAAAAGAGTCAAAGATGATTCCGCATTTTTCAAACATTTGTCCATCCATCAAGATTAAAGAAAAATGTGTGGACGAAGAGGAAGCTACTGTAGCTACCAGTAGGTTTGGGTAATCAAATCTGGTTCTCTGAACGGCTTTGTGTAGCGACTGACAACGGCAGTCACAGGCCGCAGGCAACACATCGCACGCCACTTCTGACCGTTGACGACGGCGCGCGCGCGCGCAGCTAGCGACTGCCAACGGCCGCATTTCTGCCCTCGAAGGCGGCACAGCATCTCCATCGCAAACTCCAAAACCCGCGTCCATCGCGCTGTAGCGCAACGGCGTGACTCCGTGCCCTCTCTTCTTCACCATCCCGACGGCCTTAGAGAAAACTTTGAGGCAGGCAGGCCAAGCAGGGACAAAGAGACGGCGGAGGAGGCGGCCAGGCCAGATCGGACCGAGGGACTATGGGACTATGGCCATGACGACGGCGAGGTGGTGGGCGGCGGCGGGGTCGCGTTTTGACTTCCTCCCATCTCCATCTCTTCTCTAGAATGTTCATCCCCGCCTGAGGAGGCGGCCAGGCCAGATCGGACCGGGGGACTATGGGACTATGGGACTATGGCCATGACGACGGCGAGGTGGTGGGCGGCGGCGGGGTCGCGCTTTGACTTCCTCCCATCTCCATCTCTTCTCTAGAATGTTCATCCCCGCCTGCTTTTGCTAGCTAAGCTTACTATTTAGAAATGCAAGTGCACGAGGACACGAGGTGTAGCTTGCACACGTCACTAAGACCCTCTTCAGCGCAGGGGTGACGGGCGACGGCTGCGAGAGCTCCCTGCTCGTTAAGTCCGAGTGGAGGGCGCGCGCGGGAGGCAGAGCCCGAGAGGCGATTGGGAACAACGGGCCTACCGCAGAGCGAACCCTGGAATCTCGGGCCGTGCACTATTAGGTTCACGGGAGTCTTTCGGGCCTGTATAGTGAATCAGCAGAGCTCTGGGCCTGCGTTGTTCTGGGCCGCAGCGAGGCCCATATCCCACCATTTTTTTCCTTACAATTTGCTTCAAAAAGTAACAATCTGATGATGATGATCCGAACTGGACATGAATCAACATGGCACTATGCAAGTTTCAGTACACCAGTGACAGCAAGGTTTTAAAACAATGCAAATCAAGAATTAGTAATGAACCAGAACGCTGCACCAGCGTCATCTAAATGTTAAATACTGCACAGACAAGAAACGACAGCAAAGAAAAATTTCTCAAAGCTCTTTGTATTACCTACCTGTGTAAGAATTGACACCAATCAAATCAATGGAGACGACCCCCGATACAGAGACCACTCTACCACAAATCACACTAGATGTACACACCGCCAATTTTTTTACAGAACATATGGACATGGTGGGGGAAAATTGCAGCTATCGACCCTCCAGGGAAGTTGCCTTCTCAGTCTAACTCTGCTATGTAGTTGGGCAGCTCACCCTGGCAGAGGTACTCGTCACAGTGCGACGCTGATCCCCAGCCCCTCCGCAACCGGAAGATGTCCTCCGTGAAGGTGGACCCTGATGATCCTATGAATACGTTTGATAGTGCACAGATCGTCTTGTCAAGCATCGCGTCAACCTGAATAAGCATTACAGAAGCGTATTGTTGTTTAGTAAAATTGTCACACTCAAGATGAGAAAAACTACAAAAGACCACATATGTACCTGAGTATCTCCACCCATGTGGTTTCTGTGTAGCAAGGCATCCCATTTCTCAGAGCTGTCGTGCTCTGGCCTCTCCACAAGAGGGACTTGTCTGTCGTTGAATACAACCAAGGACTGCAGAAGATTTGTTTCGCTCTCAGCAGCATCGGTAGATAAATATATCACAGGTGCATTAGCCTTCTCAACGATTCGCAGAATGCATTCTGCCGCCTGAGGGATGGGGAAGAAGCAGCTCTCTTTCTTCACATTACTACAGGAACATCAAGAGAAAATTAGTCAAATGTCCCACAGTAATATCATCAACAGGGTTAACTGCAAATGATGCACAGACCACAAAGACTTAACTAGCAATAGCACTACACATTCCCCAGAGTATGTGCTAAATGTCGTGTCCAACCAAGCTAATATCCAAATACCAACAATATTTTTTTTATGTGTACTGGGTACTAGTATCATACCATTTTAGACATAGAATTCAGTACACAGGCAACTAATGGTAGCACAAAACTTAAGTCCCCAACAACTGTCACCACAAGCAACAGCAAATAACATAATGAATGAGATATCTTTAAGGCATAGATCATTAATCTATCTATATATTTATATATTCCAACAAATGGGGAAAAATCATTGCATGTTCATATCCAACTAAACTGTATCACCATATAAAGTCCCCAGATTCAGTGCTAAATATCATGCCCAGCTCCAACAGGCTATATTCAAATACCAACAAAACCACTTTGTAGTTGTGATGGTCAGATTTCTAGAGTGGATGGTCAGATTAAAAAAGGTCTCATTTCTATCATAATTTTGGTGGCTTGGTCAATCTGGAATCATCGCAATCGCTGCGTGTTTGATGGGATTACCCCCAACCTGAATGGTGTTCTGTTGATCATTAGAGAGGGTTACTTCTATGGAGTCTGGCTGGGGCTAGAGGAATTTCTCATCTCCTCGCTCTAGTGCCAAGTGCAAACTAGGGCTCTCTTTCTCGGTCGAGGTCAAGTCTTTTTTGTAATAGGCGAGCTTTTTTGAGTGAGGTGCGGTGTGTGTTGTTGTTGTTTGGGTTTTGGGGTTTTATACCCCTTTTTCTTCTTCTTAATATACAATGATACGCTGCTCTCCTGCGTGTTCGAGAAAAAAAAACTTTGTAGTTGTGATGTACCAGGTACTAGATTCACGCAGTTGCATTCGTATAACCTATACACTGCTAGCTAATTATAGCACAATCTTAAGCACCTAATAACTGTGTCAGTAAATAACATTTAAGGCATAGCTGATAGATCTGTATATCTAACATAGCAAGGAAAAAATAATAGCATATTCAATTCACACCACTCAACCTGATGTAAATAGCCCAATAGAACTAGAAATAAGATTTTCTTAGCTTTTGATAAAGCAAATAAAGATGTTTAATAGATTATGAAACTATGAGCCACAGAACTAAAGAAGATTCAGTGATCAGTATCGTCTGTATCGAATAAGCTTGATTGGCATGCAAGGTCAGTTAAAATTTATTTATGAAATAAATTGACAAACAAGAGATTTAAACATACTGACATGTCCAGCAATGCATGACTATTGTGTGTAACTATCGCTATTGAAATTTGTTTCTTCTTGAGTCACTCTAAGCCATTGATTGCTGAGTTGGTCTAGTCAAATTTTATTATCATTGGAAACAAAGTGCAGCAACCAGTTCAAAATTGGGCAGTTATGTTGCTGAGTTTCCTTTTATGGTCAAGACATGTGACGATGTAAAACCCAAGCCGAGCTGCTTGTGAGCTTTGTCGACCCCTTGTGACAAGCTAAAGGTAACTAATAGATGTTTCCATAATGTTATTGAGTTTTTGGAATATTGTTATAAATTGTTGAATATAGCACCACTCTGTTGTCAGACACAAAGCCATTAGCATCAAGATCAGTTGGTCAGAAATGTTCAACCACAATATGAGCGTTGAAGGACCCCCATCAAAGCAAAAAGGACAAAAAAACGCTGAGATTAGTTCAGGCATCATGACAGTACACAACTACACATAGTTCCAAGGGTCAAACTAGTGCAAAGAATGCATATTGATATAACAAATGCCTTGAGACTTCTCAGCAACTGCACATTATGTAGAATTATCCAAGAAAACAAAGTCAACTTAAAAGACTAACAAGGATAGTGTTTCAATGCAATAGTCAATACTAGAGCAGATACCATCACTCAACATCACCGAGAATAACTAATGAAAGTAAGCTATGGAATATACTACTCTAGAGGCGGGGACCTTTGTCCCATTATCCAAAAAAAAACTACCATATATTGGTATTGTAAATTCATTATTAAGCAGGCACTTCATTGAATAGCTTTATTAACCAAGAACAAAATAGTTTGATCAACCATGCAGATGTCAGATGCTGACTTGCAGTATAAATTTTTTCCTAGATATGAGAGAAGCATCTAGAACCAAGTCCAACCATTCTTTGTCAGAACAAGTGCCATGTGCATCACAGAAGGGAAGACCAATTGCACTGTACAAAGGAACAGAAATTATGGAATAACTAAAAGAGGATATGATTGTGACTAGCCTAGAATTCCCAAGATGTACAAAGGATGAAGCCATCTACTAGAAGAGCCTATCAAGCATAACCTTATAAAAAGTAAATGCAGCCACTATAATATGTTTGTCTCACAAAATTCACAAATAGATAATGTTCAGCAGGTTAAAAGATCTTGTGTATCTCACCAGAATTTAAGGAATCCGTGCCGTCGAAAATGCAAAGCAATATAGTTTCCTCCCAAGAAAGTCTGGACGAAGCGTTGAGAAGTGAGCAGAATGAGCCTACTTGGTTGAATCAAAGTCTTGCACTTGTGAGCCAATGGACCACCAGGTTGATTCAGCCACTCATCCTCCACATCGGCATAGAACATGTCGCCAATGGCAAGGACCTCAGCCTCTGTCGAAAACTTTGGTGCAATATCCCCAACAAATCTCTTCTTTGGCTCCTTCAGCTTCGCATCCTCTGGCCAAGCTGCCTCAATCTTGCCCAGAGAAATACCCAGTCCTTTCAGCTTCTTAATATGGTCCTCATCAAGGAAACATGGAGGCGAGGCGGCGTAGCATATGAACTGATCGATGATCACTTTCTTCCTCTTCTCCACAAACTCCTCATAGGTGATCACAACCTTCCTCCCAATGCAATCATTAATGTGGTTGATATCAAGCACCCGATCGTACTGGTAATCCACCTTCTGGCTGGGCACCACCAGGGTACGGCCAAGAAGCGCTGCCATGAACATGTGCTTCTCCAAGCAAATCAAGTGGTTGGACATTTGCCCGGAGATGCAGATGGCTAAGAGGAACCGGTCTTTCTTGGGGTTCCACTCAATGGTCCGCCGGTTGGCCGGCAATCCCTCTTCCTGCACCCGGCGAAAGGGAGATCGAGATCCAGGCCGTCGTCGGTCGCATTGCCGGACCCGGAGCGGTGCGAGGAGAGGAGCGCCGCTTGGATCTCGCGGTTGATCTTGATCTGGCTCTCGAGCGCGGACTGGAGATCGGAGAGCGAGATAGGGGCGGGGGCGGAGCCGTTGGTGGGGGCGGCGGTGCGGTTGAAGAGGCTGAGGAGGCCGGAGCGCTGGGAGCGGAGGAGGTAGAGCGCGTGCAGCTCGGCCTCGCGCATGCGAGAGGCCGCGGGGTCGGCGGCGGGTGCGGCGGAGGGGAGGCGGATGGAGGCCGGCAGGCGGAGGGAGGACGCGCCCCCGAAGGAGACGAAGAGGATTAGGAAGAGGAGCGGGAGGGAGACGAAGAGCACGAGGTAGCGGCGGGACCAGAGGACGCGCCCGAGGGAGGCGGCGGAGGAGGGGAGCGCCGGGCGGAGCGCGGCGACGCTGAACGAGGAGGGCGGCGAGCGGGAGCGGGCGGAGGGGACGTGGGCTTGGCGTGGTTCTGCGGTACCAGGGTCTCGAGGTCGTCGTCCTCGTCGGAGACGGAAGGGCCGCGGTCCATGGCGGCGGAGGGGAGTGTCGGTGGGCAGTGAGCAGGGGGGGGGCGGGGGCGAGGAGACGTGTAGTGGCTAGTGAGGTGGTGACTGGTGAGGAAAAACGGGTGGGAAGGACGGAGGGTGGATGATGGTGACTGTTGAACCAAACGGTGGTTTAGTGTTTGCTACCTACAGCGTACTTACTCCTTCAATACCAATCTACCATACCATCTTGTTGTCTCTAACCACTCAAATTATGCCCTGCGTTTTCCAACTGAAATTTCAGTTTACTCAGGCTCAGTTTCATTTGACATTGAATTGGACTGACGCTGATGAGGTTATTACCCTTACCCTGAGTGGCTGAATCGAGGCTTTTTTTTTTGTTAGTTGTCAGAGTTGATATATGAAGATCCAACAGCGTGAGCTCATTCCAAAAGGATACGGTGAACATAAATGGTGTCTTATTATTCTTCTACTAATTGAACATTAATGTTCTAGTTACTTACAAAACTCAAACTTTCATGGTCGTTGTATAATCGGAATGGTCCATGCACTAGAGTGCACTTGGGGTTTTAGGCAACAAGAAAAAGCTGTTGTTGCAGCAAACGTTAGCTGTACCTACAATATTTCACGGAGAAAGTAAAAGCGCATATGCTGCAGCGGTAGCCGCTGCAAGCTCAACGAACACCCCAAATATCCTCGTCTAAGACTATCTCCAACAACATCACCCAAAATACAAGACTCATTTCACGTTTGGGTAGCACTATAGGCAAATGGTTCAATACCCTTTTTTTGTCTTCTCCAACAACCGGACCCAAAATAGAACGCTTTCTGCAAATGAGTTTTCAGGAGAGAGGATACTTATATTTGGGTTGTGTCTCTGCTGTAACCCAAAATAGGTCTCGCATATAGGTATTCTGTTGGAGGCTGATACAATACCATCCACAACCCATTTTTGGTTTAGCTGCCCATATAAGTCACCAATTGGAGACCGTCTAACCTAATATCTTTTTAGTTTTTCAACCAAGGAGAGCGAAACAGAGATAGTTAAAGTAAACATGAGTGCATAGGAAGTGATGATGCAAAAAAAAAATAGTGGTGCAGAGCTTAATATAATTAGTTAGGATCATAGTGGGCTATGCCCCTCTATAAGCTAGAAAAAATCATAATGAAAGTCTCAGCTCACCACTGTAAGTGATAACGGAACACTAATATGCTTCCTCTCTTTACATTTCGTACCTCCTTTCATGCCCAAGCCCCGTCACTAAAAAAGACTATGCAAAACTTGGAAAATGATGAGATAGGATTGATGTGTCGCACTTAGCCATATGAATGACTAGGTCAAAGTTAAGGGATTAACTAACGTATAGAAGTTTGGCTCAAGCTCTAAGGCATGTGTGTGTGCTGGAGTGTTGTCGGACTCAAACCGTTCGTGTAGTCTTGGACCATCCGGATTGTCTTGTATGGACATAAACTATATGATGAAGAGAAGTCTTAGATGATATATTTTTATATGATAATGCTGGGAGTCCGACGCCCCTATTGGTGGACCCAACGTGCAGAAACTACCGTTCCTATTTGCTCCCTTCGCTCCCGCACGCCTCTCTCTACCGCGCCTCCCGCCTATCTTACTCTCCACCGCCGCCGCAATGTTGATGCATATGTTGCAATAGTTGTATACGTATGTTGCAAAGGTCTGTTACCATTGTTTCATCTGTGTTTTCCGGACGCATGTTGTATCTGGATGTTGCATATGTTTCACACACACGTTGCATGTATTTTATCTGGATGTTGCGTATGGTTGCAATGGTTTTCAAGTGTTTTCCAGGTGTTTGTTTCAAGTGTTTCAGAAGCATATTTCAAGTGTTTCACTTGCCTTTAGACGTATGTTGTAACTGTTGTATTTGGATATTTCAAAAGCATATCGGGTACGTGTTGCATCTCTCCTCCTCGCCTTTTGCTGCATCGTCTCTGTGTGTCCTCCTCCCGGCACCGGCAGGGCATCCATACGACGCCGCGGCCAGGTCCTTCCGAATCGGAGGCGCCGCCCCCTTCCCCTCTTGTTGCTTGGGCGGCGCGGGCCCCACATGGAGTGCGTGAAACGGAGTGCAGCGCGTGGGCGTCTGTCCGAACGTCCGGGCGCTAGCACTGCCGATTTTTATAACAAATTTATTTGGTGATATAGATTGTGTACATTTTTTTTATAAAATCAGTCAAACTTAGAAACATTTGACTCCTTGAGAAATACAATGTACAATTATTTTAGGACGCAGTGAGCACACAACTTGTAATCCGTCCATCATCGCTGCACTGCAATCCCAATTCCCGCACCACGCTGTACCTAGCAAACCACCGTCAAGGCTAGCTAGGCCATGTCATCGCCACCCTGATCCCGCACCTCGTCCTCGCTGTCGGCAGGCTTCTGCGCAGTAGCGGCGGTAGCGAGCTGCAGCTCTTTCCCTTTACTCCACAGGAACGCGTAGAGGCCTACGATTATGAGCAGTGTCCCCAGCACGCTGCACACATACATTACCAGAATAGTACTCAGTCTGTTGCCGTATTTGCTACAGGACACACGCGTCCACCTGCTGTGCAGGCTTGACTTTAGATTGATGCTGAGAAATTAAATAGACTGAAGTGCTTATCTTCACATGTGTTCTCAGATCAAGAGCTAGGAGAACATGCGCGTAGCCGGAGCTGTTGTCTGACCTATAGGTCGGGAGTTGTCTGGCTTATCTTCACATGCATTCTCACAAAAAAGATCACTCGCTATGCTATTTAATAGTCGGGATTTGTGATTTTTTTTCATGAGTCTTTGGTTATTTCTTCTTCATGAAATGTTTCAGAGGAGGCTTTTTCTAGAGTTCAGTTTTTTTTTCAGATCAAAAGGCAAGAGCTAGCTCACCCCCCCCAGATAGATGTTGGTGCCAAGCAGCATCGAGTCCATCACCGTGGTTAATATCAACAGCAGGGGGCTGAACATGGAGGGGTAGATCGGCCCACGGCGTCTGATCGCCCACGAGACGAGCACGTACGTGACACCTGTGTTGAACACCCCCTGGCGATATGAAACACCACACGGGATGTTAGGGAACAGATGCGCAAATGGTACTGAGTTCTGGCTAATCACCGAGTAGACGATGGTCAGAAGATGCAAGTCCCAACTGAGCTTCCATTCAGCTCTGCTATGGCCGAGGAAGATGCCGACTACTAAGGACTGCAGGCTTCCCAGCAGGCACGTCAGTGTTGTCATCAAGTACTTCGACGGGAATACCTTCGCAAGTCTAGCCTGTATGTGTTGTAAGAACATGTACATTATTGTGAGTGTTCATATTTCACATATACTCCTACATGGGTTCCATAGGAAACATCAATTCTTCAGAAATAACTAGTGAGCTGAAGATCTGGATGTAGATTTCTAGTCTAAAATAAACTGGCACCTGCACGATGAACCATAAGACATAGCTCAGGCAGCTGCCGCACAATAACAGTGTACCATTGACTATGCTGTGGTGTAGGCCAGCGGTGGGACTTGTTGCCGGCGCATGGGAATGAGGGTATCTCAGCAGGTGCGTCGACGAGAGGTGCAGCCGCCGGCCTTTGAACAGGCTGACGACCATAGCCCCACAGACGCACAGAAGCGTGCCTAGGAGTTTCATCATGCCAGGCCACTTTGAGAGCACCAGCTTCTCGGCCCTGGAACAGATGCCATAGTCCATACAAATGCATGTATGTATGTCAGTAACGGTTGCAACTATAAATAAATCACATGGTCATAGTGGTTTCATATATTTAGTTAATTAATTAGATTGAATACCGGAGCGTGATGGCGATGATGAAGGTGACAATGGGGATCAGGTTCAGGAAGTTGGCGGAATAGGCAGCGCTGGTGGCACGGAGGCCGTAGTAGTACAACCCCAATGCCAGGACGATTCTACATGATACATTTTCCCCTCGGAGGACATTGGGATACGTATATAAGTGTAGGTCCAAATTTCCATAACAATCTATCTATAATGTAAAGTTTGAGTTTTCACAGTAAAATAAGATAGTTGGCAGTCAAGCATTTACGCACACAACTATTTGAGCTTGACAAGATGTTCATTGTTTCAACACTCACTTCAGAGAGGTGAGCAGCTTAAGCATTATCAGCATGTTCGTTTGGCTGTGGCTTGTCATAAATAATCGTAAATTTTTAACCGGAATAATATTTTTCTTTCACACAAACCAGCCAGCAGTACTTCTTCACGAACCAGTAACGAAACGAACCAGCCAACCGAACAGTATGTAACTCTAAGGCAAAGTAATTAATACTGTAATAAGAGGTTGACCGTGTTAAGACATAGTTCTCACCCGAATGTAGCATTTACAGAAACCCAACCCCATATATCCAAGCTCACCCTTTTACACATTTCCCTGCAACACACGACATGACGAGAAGTTTCAAAGCTCAATAATTATGGCCCTGTTCGCTTGAACTTATCAGCAATACCGTTTCAACGAAATAACAATGTTTTTCTCTCATAATAAATCAGCATCAGCATCGGCATCAGCCATTTTTCTAGCGAGCCGTATGTTGCATCGCCACCCAAATCTCAGTTGTCTACCATTTGTGTACTATCGAAACTCGAATCTCTATGCTAGGACGGTCTGCAATCCTATAGACCTCCTAGGCGCTCGTCAGAAGCGTGTCGTTGGTATAGTTAAGCTCTTCTACCTCAATTACAATGATGTGCAAACATTTTGTGTATTCTAAGGAAAAAATGTTTGCGTATAATATTTTTCTTCAGGCAAGTCAGGTCGGGTCGAGCTTTCCACGAACAGATCAATGATCTACTAGGTGCCTTTTCTGAATCTAAAGGCTAAAACAAACATGGTCCAAGAGGAAGAAGATGAGTTTTATGGGGTGTTGGGGTTGGGGTGGGGACTGGCTTAGCACTCCTTTGCCATGTTTTATCATAGTGGGTCCCAGTCAGCAAATCATGTGTGAATAGCAACACAGAGATGACCAAAGGGCCGAAATCTG